TTAGAATACTTACCATCTGACTCTTCACTGAAAAAATTTGCCAAACATTCCATTTAGAGAGTGCAGATAATTATTTTCCTCCCCATTTCCCCCTTCAGTTTCCTAAAGTTAAAATATGTTACTTTTAAGAAATCAAGATGGTGGCACACCTGAACTTGCTGCCTCACACAACAACTTCAAAACTACAACTAAAAGACAAAAACGGATATAATCCAGAACCACAGGAAGACTGGCTGAGTGGAAATTCTACAACTAGAAGGAAAGAGAAAAGCCCACTGAGAGTCAAGAGGAGGTGTGGAAAGCAGAGGTACGGAGGGTGCACACGTGATAGGGAGGCACGTGAAAGGAGAGAGCTGGAGGGAGACAAAAGCTCCTGACTGCTCTGAACTCCAGTTCCAGGCAATACTCTGGGGACCCAGAGTCATACGGGGAGTAACTGTACTATCTGGTAACAGGCAGAACTCAAGGGCAGCTTTCTCTCAGAGGTGATTGCAGCAAGTACTGAAGGACACTGAGACCCTGGGGCCTTTTAGGGCAGGGCTGACGAGAAGCCATTGCTGTTTGCTCCACCCTGACACTCCACCCCATCAACACTGTGCACAGAGGCTTTTGCATCTGAATGGCATGGTCTCTTGAATTCTAAACTTACTTATCAAACTGCACCTGAGTGAGAGACACACAGAACATAAAAAAAAGGCCCAAGGCCCCAAAGCAGTTTGCATTGCTTCACAGCTAGGCCTCATATGAGCACCTCCAAAACCCAAACAAAGAAGAGGAATCTGCAGATCTCTCTGTAGCTCCTGCTGGGTGGCCTCAGGCAGAGCCTAAATTAGCACCTCCTTGGAGATCCAAGAGTCAGTGTACCCAGGGATCAGATAGGACCATCCAGGTTACAAATCCTCAAATCCATAAGAGACACACTCAGGGGGCACACTCAGTGAGCACCAAAGTCCCACTGAAGCAAGTCTAGCCTCATAAGGGTTCCTCCAGCACAGAAGTTCTCCATTGTGGACACAGCTGACCCTCCCAGCCAATTTGCCTGGAGGTCAATTCCTCCCAGTGATACCAACAACAATCAAGGCTTAACTACAACAAGACTGTGCACACATACCACAAAGAGATGCACCAAAAGTGTCCACCTTAGGTAACTGAGGAGGCTGAGCCACTGGGCCCTATAGGACACCTAACACACAAAGCCACTCTATCAACTCAGGGAAGTAGCCAAAATGCAGAGACAAAAAAACAAGTCACAAATGAAAGAAATGGAGGAAAGCAAACAACTGGATATAGAGTTCAAAACCACGGTTATAAGATTTTTCAAGAATTTTCTATAAAAGGCCGATAAATTTAGTGAGATCCTCAAGGATATGAAAAAGGACAAACTAGAAATTAAGTATACACTGACTGAAATAAAAAAAATAATATACAGAGATCCAACAGCAGACTAGAGGATCAAAAGTCAAAGATTTGAAATACAAAGAAGCAAAAAACACCAACCGGAAAAGCAAAAAGAAAAAAGAATCCAAAAATATGAAGATAGTGTAAGGAGCCTCTGGGACAACTTCAAGCATACCAACATCCGAATTATCAGGGTATAGAAGAAGAAAGAGATCAAGATACTGAAAACCCATTTGAAGAAATAATGATAGAAAACTCCCACCTGGTGAAAGAAACAGACTTATAAGTCCAGGAAGAACAGAGAACCCCATACAAAAGGAATCCAAAGAGGACCAATCATAATTAAAATGCCAAGAGCAAAAGACACATAATTAAAATGCCAAGAGCAAAAGACAAAGAGAGAATATTAAAAGCAGCAAGAGAAAAACAGTTACCTACAAGGGCGCACCCAATACTACTGTCAGCTGATTTCTCAACAGAAACTATGCAGGCCAGATGGGATTGGCAAGAAATATTCAAAGTGATGAATAGCAAGAACCTATAACCAATATTACTCTATCCAGCAAAGCTATCATTCAGAATTGAAGATCAGATAAAGAGCTTCACAGATAAGAAAAAGCTAAAGGAGTTCATCACTGCCAAACCAGTATTATATGAAATGCTGAAAGGTAAAGATAAAAATTATGAACAACAAATACATATCTATCAAAAAGTGAATTTTAAATTCAGTGAATTAAAAATCTGATGAACAGAATAATCTGGTGAATAGAATAGAATCAGGGGCATAGAGAGGGAGTGGACTGACAATCCTCAGGGAGCGGAGGGGGATGGGTTGGGGGGGTGCAAGAAGAGACTGGACAAAAATCATACACCTATGGATGAGGACAGGGGGGGGGGGGGTAAAGGCATGGGGGGTTGGGGTGGGAACCAGGCAGAGGGGAGCTATGGGGTGGGGGGGGAGAATAACTAATAATCTGAACAATAAAGATTTTTTAAAATACCAAAAAAAGTTACTTTTATAATCAGAAAGAAAGTGAACTGTTTTAAAGATGTAAACTATATTATAGAAAGGTTTCCATTTAAAATGGTTGCATTTTTTAGGTTGTCCCTTCAAGGGCTTTGTATCAATCATTGAACAATTCTTATCTCGTATATTCAGCTCATTTCTCAAGAGCACCAGAAAGGGGAGGCCCTGCAACCATCAGTACCATTCCAGGAACATGGAGCTGTGCCTTGGATTAGCCCTCTGAGCAGGAAGCCGGCAAATGTTGCATAAGTAAAACAAGCTTAGATGCCAAGAAGAAGTGATTACTGATAAAATGACCGTTTCTACCAATTTGGGAAGCAATAGGGAAAACATCTGCTTCCCCATCCCAGCTGTCCAGCTTAATTCCTCATTACACACTAAGGGGAAATTGCCAGGGTACAGTCTGGAAACAGAGTGACTCAGAAAGCAAGGATTTGTAGAGGTGAGCAGGGGAACAACCAGTGGGCAAAGAGCAGACACAGAGAAGCAGAGAGGCCCTGAAAACATTAATGGCAGAAGCATCCTCAGCAATTAACACCATTCAACACTTTGGCCCCATTTTACAGATGAAGAGAATGAGGCCTGAAAATCAGAAATAAGTTAGAGTCATCCTATCTCAGTGACACCAAGAGCTGTAAAAGACATCAACTCCAGTCATCTCTGAATTTGAATTGAATTTCCTCCAAAATATCCCCCAATTAGTGGCTGTTCCCATCCTGAGTTCACTCCTTGGACAAAGAGGTCCCACCTTTGGAAGAGGCATGATGTGTCCTTGAATAGCATTGACATAGTCTTAAATCCAAGTTGAAATGTGCCTCTAAGTAGCTTCCACTCCCTGGCCTATTTCAACTCTCTGGATGCCACCACAGAATGGTCAAACAACAATAACAATGATGATAACACAAATCTACAGTCCAAAATCCAAAAAGTTCTTTAAAAAAATATGTAAGCTATCATAATTCATTTAGCAACAAAAGCTGACCTGAAAGGACGTGTGACAGGGTGCTGTTCCAGACCCCACGGAGAGTATTATGTAATATACTAGAGGCTTGGTGCATGAAATTCCTGCACAGGGATTGGGGGGTGGTGTCCCTCAGCCCAGCCTGCACCTTCTCCAATCTGGGACCCCTTGAGGGATGTCCAACTGCCCTCCTCTGCAAGCCTGGTCACCTCTAACTCCCCTCCCCTGCAGACCTGGTCTCCCCCAACTGCTCTCCCCTGCAGGGAGAGTAGTAAGAGATGATGCTGGACATCAGGAAGGGGTGATGGTGGGCAGGGACCAGGTCATATAAGGCCATTCTAAATAGCCTAAAGAAGAAGCAATTGAATGGAGGTGCTAGCCTAACTGGTTTCCATCAAATGCCAAAGGATATCCTTAAGCTTTCCTCTTTCTGCATTTTTTCCCCCAGAGAATCCTTACTCTTCTCCAAAATTCACCTCCCTAAGCTTCAAGGTCTAATTCCAGCACCACCTTTTTCTCCAGGAAGCCTCCCCCTCCTGCAGATGGAAGGGATGACCACTACTGGGTAGAACAGGTGCAGGTGGCCCTGTGCGTGCACTATATAGCCGTAAGTGCAGTGTGATGTAATGATTAGGAGCTGTGGAGTCAATCTGCCTGGATCCCAATCCAGGCTTTGCTGCTTACCCTCTATGTTTTAATTTCCTTAACTGTCATAATGGAAATAATAACATTATTACATCAAAAGGTTATCTCAGGATTGAATCATTTCACTGATACACTGAACACACATTTCTTACTACTTTCCCAAGCTGCTGTTTCCCACAGTGCACTATGGGCCAGCTGCTCTGTTGTACAAAGCAAAATTTTAATAAATGCTAATCTTTATTATATGTTGTGGTCCCCATATACCCCCAACTCTGGGCAAGGCCTATCACTGGTGCTCAATCAGCTGAGTAGAAGTCAATGTCCTCTCCTCACAGACAGTCAATTATGTGACCTCATATTCTTTGCTTAGACAATTGATCAACACAGACTAGGTACACTTTCCTTTCCTACGGAGTTGTGTACTAGAGGCAAGAACCTCAAAGCATGATTTAGAAGAACTATATCATCTTCCACACGCCTCGGCCTGAATCCCGGGATAACCTAGGACACGTGCTTTTACCTTCCAGAACTGCGGTATTCTCATCTGTGGAATGGGAATGGGCTCCTATGAAGCGCAAAACAGATGAAGAGCTTGGCAGCATTTTGCCCAGTGGTGATGCAAACCTGATTTCCATTTCCCAGTCTGCAGGCCACGCCCACACCTCCCCATCCCTCACTTTCACTTCCAGCAGAAGCACGCTTCAGACTAGCATAGCTGGCAGGCCTCCAACACAGAAACAGGTATATTGTAATGTGCCACACCCACTGACTTGATGAATTATTTTTCTCCTCCTCCAGGGACTTTCCTGACTTCCTTCTGTAAGCGAAGGAAGGAGCACATGAGCACACTGTATATAAATATGTTTGGGAAGCTTTCTTCTTCTTTTTTTTTTTTTTTTTTCTTAAACCAAACTTTGGTTTCTGTTGTAGGCGGTGCATTCCCTAACAGGGCGGGGCGCAGTGTGATGTGGAGGAGAGAGGAGAGGCCAGGGGGAGGAGTAGGCAGTGATTGATTCACCCACTGTGAGAGCTGGTCTTCTATTTAATGGGGAGGTCTCCCTGCACAAGAGGAGTCAGCTTTGACTCTGGGACCAGCCAGAGCATGGCAGAGGACCAGGAACTGGGCTTTGGGGAGACAGCCAGCTTGGAAATGCTGCCGGAGGATGACAGCTGCAGGCCAAAGGCCAGAGCCGGGCTGGCAGCCAGGGCCAGCAGCTCAGGCTGCTTTCTCACCTGTTGCCTGGTGTCACTCCCCATCCTGGCAGGACTCACCGCCTACCTGCTTGTTGGCCAGCTCAGAACCCAAGGAGAACCCTGTATGTTCCAGGTAAGCAAGACTTGGAGCTGCCCTGGGGAGCAGCAGACCCCTGCAGGCAGTTTAGCCTGTACAGCCCCGGTCAGTGTGGATACATCTGCAAGCTGAGGAAACCCTGGGCAGGGCTCCCTGATCCATCACCCTCCTTCCCTTCCTTGCCTCAACATGCAAAGGAAATGCAGAATGTGAGGGAGGGGTGAAGGGATGTTTGTTCTTAATATTTCCAAGGAATGAACTGTCCCTTTTTATGTTTGTGTGGGAACAACCTCAAGCCACATATTTCTAGATAATTATAACCACAGTGCACTGATAAGTAGGGAATGTTCCTTTTCTTTGAAAAGAATACAACATACCCTTTAAATTGCATAACTAACACATGGTCATTAAAAAAAGTTAGAAAGTACAGATTAGGAAAAGAAGATAATTATCATAGAGGTAACCACTCTAAGATAACATTTGGGGATACATAATTTCTATCTTTTAATAATATGGAATTGTTTTGAGTATCTTAATATGTTATAATTAAATTTATTATTAATAAATTCACAGCAGCATGAGGATATAGATGGTTGTATTATATTACTATATAATTATATTACTATATAAAATATGTGCTATAATTTATATAATCAATCTCCTTGCTTGGCTTCAGTACAATTCTTTTTCAATGTTCCAGAAATAACTGATTGCCAGATTGTTTATCATTCAGTCTTGCTGGGGGAGGGAAAGGGTTTGGGGAGACCTTACTCAAAAAATATATATATACAGGGTTTACAGAGAATAATAAGAGGATACAGGTGTCAAAGCAGAAACTTCTAGTTCTGACCTAGGCACATCAAAAACCTTAAAGCCTGAAGAATGTGCCTTTCAAGTAATGCCCCTTCTTAACAATGCTCTTGCATAACCTGTGGGTGACTGGTTTAATTTCAAACTCCAGCTGATTTCAGAGAGACAAGTGTTACATTCCATAGGCTTTTCAATTGGTTTAACTGGTTTCCAAGCAATGCTGGCCAACTTCAAAGCAGAGACACAGAGAGCAAGCTATGGCAATGGTATAACTTTCACCCCCATCAGGGTCAGCAAACAGACTGCCTGATTCAAGTGGCAGCATCCAAGGCCACGTGCCATCATTCAGAAAATGTAGACATAGGCAAGCCAACCGGAAATGCTATTTATGTTGGAGGAGCACTGCAGGGCATGAGAGGTCAGGGTGTGACCCCAAGATCACCATGGTGCTGTTTCCTGGGAAGCATCCACTTGATATTCTGGGATACTGTCCATCTTTATCCAGAAAGAGGCTGTTGTTTTGGAGGCTTTGAATGACTCCAGTAGTCTATGCTCTCCTGCCTGCTGAAGAGAAACTCTCTCTCTGCCAAAACATTGTCTATTGGCAGAAGCCAGAAAACACCTCTGTCTGCATCTCATGCAATGCCAACCTCCTGTAGTTGTTCCAAGGATGGACAGAGGAGGTGCCTTAGAGCAGTTCTGGTAGAGGGAGCAGCCAAGTAAAGAGAGGGAACAGAACACTTGGAATGCTGGCAACAGAGAAAGGTAGGGTGACTGGAGGCCAGTGATGGGGCAGGGGAGAATGCCACTGTCCAGAGGGGGCCATTGGCTTGCCTCGTCAGGAAGAAAGTTTGAGATGGGAGCTGTGGCTAGACAAGAAGCCTATGAGAGAAGATGCTGAATGTCTGCCCTAGTGTAGGTATGCGAGGGTTAAAAAAGGCTAAAACTACATTCCGTTATAGTTAAACCAATCTCCTTGGAGACTGGCCATGTGAGGACATTTGGGTCTGTGGTTTGACCAGGAGATGTAACTCTTGGTGTATCAGAAGAAAGATGAAGGGAAATAGGGGTGATGCTGTGCACCCACAGCAATTGGGGTCCTGATAAGAAACAGCTTGCCCACTCAAAGAAGAGAGTTTAAAGAAGAATGTTTAAAGAACTGAAAATGGGTTCAAAGAAGGGTCTATGTGCTGAGATACAGAGGGATTAAAGGAAACCTCCAGGACTGGACGCATCCTGGGGATTAGCAGCAGAGGGAGGCGGGTCCCCAAACCTTGGCCTGAAGGGACAAAAGGAGGAAGGAGGTTTAGGGGTACGAAACGTGAAGGAGGGACCTACCTGCAGTATGGGTAAAGGGAAGCCAAAAGTCTGCCAACAGCAGGGAGGGAAGAGGAAGAGGGAGAGAAACTCAGGCCTCTGCTCCTAGCTGGCAAGTATGCCCTGAGGTCAGCCTTCAAGGGCACAGGGAGGTCCAAGAAGGGTAGATCCAAAGTGGCTAACAGACAATAACAAGCTCAGAGAAGACTAAAGAAGATGGAATCCATCTGTGTTTTATTAACATGAAATTAACTTGTAGGTATAAGCATGAGGTGGTTGCCTAGAGAACAATAATTGATATTCAGTTGAACATAAATAAAAGGATATTTGCCTTTAAAAAAAAAATAGATGGGAACCAAGAAGGGGAAAACAGGTCACTGAGCCAACTTGGGTGGGCGTGGACGTAGCAGTGAATTTGATTGCCAGCTCAGCTAACTCTGACCATGTGAAACAGGCATGTGACTTCATTGCTCCCAGCCTGTTTCCTTTTCTACCAAAAGATACTAATACTCTGACTTCAACAGCACTAATAAGGAAGGCATGTGCAGGAACAGTTTATACTTTGACAACGGGGAGAACTATACTCTTGTAGTCACTGCGATATGATTGTCACTCTGTATCAGGCACTAGACAAACACCAAGAAAACTTAATCTTGGCCTTAAGGAGCTCCGAGCCTGATGCATGACCGGAAATAGGCTATATGCTCTGGAATTCCAGATGTTCTCGTAGTCCAGCCTTGGAGGAAGAGGTGGTTCACAGAAGGGCGTCTAGAGAGGGGAAGGAAGCCAGTGGTGGCTAGAATGCTATTCGTGAAGTCCAGACCACAGACTCCATTAAAAACTAAAGCACCTCAGACAAAACAGGCCATTGGAGGTAACAAGGTTGTAAAGCCTACAGCTACAAACCAGACCATCTGACCCCCAATTCCATGACCCCCTCCACTATGTCAGGCTACCCCTCACATTTCAAAGATACGGCTCCCAGGTCATTGAGAGAGGAAAAAAGGGGGATGTGGGGGTTACCTGGTCTTCAAAGATTTTATAATGCCCCAGGCCCTAGGCATTCAACTCTAACTCAGGAGGAGTAAGAGAGAGGGTCACCCAGTGCTTCCAATATATACATTCTCAGTTCTGATGAGCAAGCCCAGCAGCAAAGGATAAGCCAATGATAATAACAACAATAATAACAACATGATATTAACTCCCACTTCACACTTACAGAGAGCTCTCACAAAGATGATCCCATTGAACACTCACAGCAACCCAGAAATGCAGTGAGGGGGTGAGCAGTCACATTTGGCAGATGAGGAACTTGAAGTGGAAGAGTCTATGTGAGCGCCCAAGGTCACAAAGCTGGGAGAGAACCAACCTTGGTCTCTGAGTTGGCAAATCTAGGTCTTCATGGTTTCCAGGTTGCCTCCCTCTCCACTCACAATTAAGCTTTGTAATCATGGAAAGCCCTTTCCATCCACCCCTTTTACAAATGAATGAATGGATCACCATGTAAAACAAATTCTATAAAGACAAGCCAGGGCTTGATTCTCCGCACAGGACCCAAAATGATTATTTGAGAACTTGCACTGGACTGTATCCTGGGCCTGCCTCTGTGGCCTCATCCAGTACCCTCGCTCTTCTCTCCCTTACCCCATCACTGGCTTCCAGCCACCCTGCCTTCCTCTGTTGCCAGCATTCCAAATGTTCTTGTTTCCTCTCTTTACTTGGCTGCTCCCTCTACAAGAACTGCTCTAAGGCACCTCCTCTGTCCATCCTTGGAACAACCACAGGAGGTTGGCATTACTAAGAATCTTTTCTAATCTAACCTGGAAAAGAGTGGAAGTTGGAGAAGAGGAGGCTAAAAGGAGCTCCAAAGGAATAGAGTGAGCAAAGTATACAACCACTATGAGTTTCCATTTTCCCACATTACCTACCTGATGGAAGTGCTGGGAGGATTACAAGTGATCTCCATAAGGCCCTGGTGAGTGTCTAGCTATGTGGGCACTGGGTGGATGTTTGTCCTTTTCTTTCGCCTAAGTAGAAGAAGAAAGCTCTTCAAAAATCCATAGATAGGAACTAAGAAATGGAGGCTTAGCCCTGGGGTCAGCAACTATGACCCACAGGCCAAATCTCACCCATTTTCTATTTTTGTAAATAAAGTTTTATTGGAACACAGCCATGCCCATTCACTTACACACTATCTGTAGCTGTCCTCAAGCCACAACAGTAGAGTTTGGTAATCGTGACAGTGATTATCACCTACCAAGTTAATATACTGTGTGGCCCTTTATAGGAAAGTGTGCTGACCCTTGATCTAGTCCTATATTCTTGTTTTACAATTGAGGAAACCAGGGATCAGAGATGGGAAAGAAAAGTTCAGCATCATAGAGTATGTCAGGGGGTACAGAATAGAAATTAAATTCTATTTCTACAGTCACTTGGCCTCATTCCACCAGCAAATAGGACTGACTCCATTCTTGCTAAGTCCTCGGATCAGACATTGGAAAATAACAGCAACTGTAGAAATGTTCTGAGTTTTGTTAACAGCAACAAAAACTATAGACACACACACAGACACACACACACACATTCCACCTAAACACTATGCTAGATGGCCTTTGGATATATGCTCAACAAATTATACCTTCTGAGGTGGCCAGAAGTATCTACCAAGTTTTTACTGAAAAGTGTCCATCACATATTAAATGCTCAACAAATGCTAGTCTCTTTCCTCCAGAGAGCACCTAACTGCACCTGGCATACCGAAGTCGTTCATTAAGTGTTTGTTGAATAGAGAGAAGGATGAAGGGATGCACAAGGTGCCTGAGCTCTCTAAGCCTTACACTCTCTGTCTATAAATGGAAAGTTTAACATGCTATCTTCATAGCACTGTGTGAGAATTCTGCAAATATCCA